TCCAACAGTTCAAAAGCATCAATTGTTCCACACAGCTTGCTTTATGGTCCAACTCTCACATCCATACATGACTACAGGAAAAACCACAACTTTGACAATACAGACCTTTGTCAGTAATAAAATAACGTCTCTGCTTTTTAATATGTTGTCTAGGTTTGTCATATAGTTTCTCCCCCACTTACAAAACTTTTAAATACCTGAATACTAAAACAAAGAACATTTTAAAACTTTAAAACTCAGGATGTTTAAAGAAAGTTACATCAAGGAGAACAAAATGTGGTATCAGGGTATAGCACCTCAAGATATTCAACCATGTCTCTCAATCCAGTCTTCCAGCCCACACAAATTCTAGCTGAAAAACAGCAATTTCCAGGTTTCTGAGACTTTCCCAGTATGTTCCATATATTTTAATAACAGACATAATTCTATTTTTTTGTTTTTTTAATTTTTAAGCTCAAACACACGCACACAGCAGGCCATCAAACATTTGCCAAATATAAGACATATTTACTGTGTGAACTGTTTCTGGTTTTGATTTTGGTTTAAATAAACTGCAATTTTTTGGACATGGACGCAACCTAGATGCCCATCAGCAGACAAATGGATAAGAAAGCTGTGGTACATATACACAATGGAATATTACTCAGCCATTAAAAAGAATACATTTGAATCAGTTCTAATGAGATGGATGAAACTGGAGCCCATTATACAGAGTGAAGTAAGCCAGAAAGGTAAACACCAATACAGTATACTAACGCATATATATGGAAATTAGAAAGATGGTAACGATAACCCTATATGCAAAACAGAAAAAGAGACACAGATGTATAGAACAGACTTTTGGACTCTGTGGGAGAAGGCGAGGGTGGGATGTTTCAAGAGAACAGCATCGAAACATGTATACTATCAAGTGTGAAACAGATCGCCAGTCCAGGTTGGATGCATGAGACAAGTGCTCAGGGCTGGTGCACTCGGAAGACCCAGAGGGATCGGGTGGAGAGGGAGGTGGGGGGGGGGGGGGTCAGGATGGGGAACACATGTAAATCCATGGCTGATTCATGTCAATGTATGGCAAAAACCACTACAATACTGTAAAGTAATTAGCCTCCAACTAACAAAAATAAATGTAAAAAAAAAAAATCAAATAAATAAATAAACTGCAATTTTTTAAAAAGTAAAAATACAATGAGGTTGTAGTATGTTTTAAACACATTTTTATATAAAGTAGGGAAGACAACAACTTTTTGTCTTATTTATTTAAAGTCCATGATGCCAGAGTGCTAACATATACTTTAGGGGAAAAAATTAGGGAACTAGGCATTGTTTGTCCTAGAGGCACAGAGAAAGGGGGTCCTTTGGGTTTGACAGTCCACTGCAGACTGTCTTGCTTCCAGTTCATACAGCTGAACTTGATTAAAATAGGTATTGATAGAAAAGGGGGGGAATATACCCAATTTGACCCCTTATGTGGGATCTGGGCATGCTTCATATGCTAACCACTTGTCCTGCTGTTGCTGTAGTTCAGTTGCTAAGCCACGTCCAACTCTTTGCAACCCCGTGGACTGCAGCACGCCAGGTTTCCCTGCCTTCACTATCTCCTGGAGTTTGCTCAAACTCATGTCCAGAGTCGGTGATACTATCTAACCATCTCATCCTCTGCCGCCCTCTTCTCCTTTCACTTTCAATCTTTCCCAACATCAGGGTCCCTTCCCATGAGTTGGCTCTTTGCACCAGGTGGCCAAAGTATTGGAGCTTCAGCATCAGCCCTTCCAGTGAATATTCAGGGTTGATTTCATTAAGGACTGGTTTGACGTCCTTGCTGTCCAAGCGATTCTCAAGAGTCTTCTCCAACACCACAATTCCAAAGCATCAATTCTTCGGCGCTCAGCCTTTTTTATGGTCCAACTCTCACATCCATACATGACTACTGGAGCTTTGACTATATGGACCTTTGTATGAAAAGTGATGTCTTTGCTTTTTAATATGCTGTCTAGATTTGTCACAGCTTTTCTTCTAAGGAGCAAGCTGCTTTTAATTTCATGGCTACAGTCACCATCAACAGTGATTTTAGAGCCCAAGAATGTAAAATCTGTCACTGCTTCCACTTTTTCCTCATCTATTTGCCAGGAAGTGATGGGACCAGATGCCATGATCTTAGTTTTTTGAATGTTGAGTTTTAATCCAGCTTTTTCATTCTCCTCTATCACTCTCTTGTCTTCAGTTCAGTTCAGTTCTTGTCTTAGGGGTTGTTAATGGAACATAAATGTTCTCACCACTACAGTTGTATTCAAAACCTCTTGACTTTTATTTAAATTAATGCAGAAATATCAAATGGTAAACTCAAGGTTCTGAAGCTGTTTTAACTAATCATGGCTAAGACAATCTAAGAGAAAGACAAATACTGTATGTGTTCAGTTTTATGTAGAATATTTAAAACAATGAACTTAAATAAGAGAATAGGATGGCAGTGGTCAGGGGCTGGAGGGAGGGGAGTAGAAACGGGGAGATGCTGATCAAAGTGTACAAACTTCTAGCTTTAAGATGAAAAAGATCTGGGATATACTGCACAGCATTGTGACAATAACTAACAATACTACTATATATTAAAGTTGTTAAGAGACCAGATCTTAAAATTTATAGCCCCTCCACACACAAAAAGGTAACTATGGGAGGCAATGTTAACACAAGTCACCTTATTGTAGCAATCATTTCACAATATATACATGTATCAAATCATAATGCTATACACCTCACAATGCTATACAACTTAAATTTACATACATTAGGTATCAGTAAGATCTCAATAAAGCTGGGGACATTTTTTCTAAATAAAAAGAAGTTCTTCACAAACCAAAAAAAAAGAAAAAACTTCCTGACATAATACAACTATAAGAACAAATGAGCTACCTAATCAATGAAGAGAAGGCAGCCCAAAAAAGCTTTAGAAAATAGTATAGAATCATACTATGAAGATTTGAAACGTCACATGTAAGTTTCTATATAATTTGTTTAAATCTTTTCTATCACAATATAATTCACATACCAAAAAATTCACTCTTAAAGTGTACATTTTAGTAGTATTCAGTATATTCACAAGGTTTTACAATCAACATCATTATCTAACTCTAGATCATTTTTATCACCCCAAAAAGAAACTTCAAACCCATCAGTAGTCACTCACCATTCCCACTTCCCTCCACCTCTGGACACCACTAATCTATTTTGTATCTTTATGTGTTTGCCTATTTTGGACATTTCACATAAACTGGATCATACAATAGGTGGTTTTTGCAAGTTTAAGTCTTACATTTCATTTTGGTGTGGTTTTTCCCTCTGCAGTTTCTTTTCTAAGTAAAGCATGACCAAGGCAATGTTTTATATTTATATAAACATACACACACATATAAATAAAGAGCAAAAATTGTATTGTTGAGGCTTATATGGAATAATAGATATAGGTACAAAGAATACTACCTAAATGAACAGACTATAGTTTTGACAGTCTTTGCTGCAAAATTTCTAAAAAATAAAATGTGATTTTTAAAAAGAATGCTGACCAACATTTTGGCATTTTCCAAACCACTAACTTAAATTATTATTATACATTTTAGTTACTGTACTTTGCTATTATAAAAAGACACTAAATTATAAAAATAATTTATACATATAAATAGCTATAAAAATTTTTAAAAATCATAGGAAAAAATATGTCAGTAGTTATGGTATTTAGGTGATTGGAAAGTAGGCTTTTTTAATGTATTTTATTTTTAATTTAAAGGTATTATCACCATCACTTTTTGAAAGACATTTTTAACATATACCCCAAAAATTCAGGCTATATATTATAAATAAACAAAAGTAGGGACTCCCAACCCTTCATGTGCATATATGATTACTTTTCATATCTAAACTAAATGTACATAATATGGAAAGATGACAGTAATATATTGCTTAGTTAAAAAAACAAACTGAACTATATGTAGCATGACCCTACTGGTACAGAAATAAAACACTACGTATTGTATAGGTGTGTGCGTGCATGCATATAAAAAGGTCAGCAAATGATTAAAAGTGGTTACTCCTGAAGACTCAGACTAAAAAGGGTAAAGGAGTTTACTTTTTATCTCATATATTTGTACTAATTGCCTATTTAATAACAAGCTAATTTTTGTAATTTTTTAAGACTTTACTTAATTACTTTTTTTTCGGCTGCATCTTGCAGTATATTAGTTCCCTAACCAGGGACTGAACACAGGCCACAGCAGTGAAAGCATGGAGTCCTAACCACTGGACTGCCAGGGAATTCCTACATTTCGTAACTTTTAAATCACAAATGCTTTTAATTAAATGTGCCATTAATTATTTTCTTTAAAAAAAAAGAACATTAAATCTAACAATTTAATGTGTCAATTTTTAATTATCCAAACCAATGGAGAACTCAAATGAGGCAGAAAATACCAAGAGGTTATACTTGGCTTCCAAACACCTAACAGTTTATAGCATCCTTAGTCATAACATATCAGAGGCAACACCCACGTGGTACCCAGAAAAGTCCAGGATGAAAACTTCGCTGTGTATTATCTATAAAGTATAGATATTTTACCACATCATATCCATGCTTTAACAATTCTGGTACATGTGGAACCAGAATTTTAAAAAAAAATCATATCATATCCAATCCATGCTTTAACAATTCTGGTACACGTAGAACCAGAATTTAAAAAGAAAAAAAAAAGGTCCCAAAGAGAAGAGAAGACAGGTACAGATGAACACAAAATTTCAAAAAAAGAGCCAGCTGTAAAAATAACGAACCAAGGTTTAGAAGACACTGGAGAAGAGAGAGAAAGAGGAAGCGCTCTCAGGCTCTTCTTTCATTCTGATTTATCTCGAGATGCTTCACAACTAAACTCCTTAGGGAACGCCCCAACAAGGGTGTGTGGGGCCCGCCTGAAAAGTGTAACTTGAGCACCGCTATAAGCAGGAAGAGGTCAGAATCATACCTTTTCCAAAATGAACTTGTTTAAATAAGGCATGTAGCCCTGATTGGAGACAGGTCCCTCATCATCATCCCTGAAGTGCTCTTCAAGGGCAACCGGGTCATGTGGAACCTTCAGCACGGTGCACAGGTTATGGGAAAGGACCTGGAAGGGAGGAAGAGAGCAGTTTAGAGGCGTCCACTAGGCAGCACGTGGCACCTTCACTCTTTGAACACAAACGGCTGCCCCCTACCCTGGGGAGAGAGAGACAAAAAATAAACTGCCAGCTGCCAGGCTCCCCACTTGTTATCGACAGGGTCTCATTCCCTCTGAGCTTTCGTTCACTTCAAACCAGTCTCTTTTACTTGCCTACAATGAGCCAGGCTCCATGAACGATTTGTAACTATCATACTCCGTGTGTGTGTGTGTGAGTTGCTCAGCCGTGTCCGACTCTCTGCGACCCCATGAACTATACAGCCTGCCAGGCTTCTCTGTCCATGGAATTCTCCAGGCAAGAATACTGGAGTGGACTGCCATTCCCTTCTCCAAGTACCCCTTGTAGGCTTTTATCAGTTGGCCCACATTAGAAAGAAAAAGGGGGGAAAGAGCAAGAGAATGTGTTCAGATGGTGCTGAAGAGCTGTAGCTGGGGGCCCTGGATAAGGTGGCCGACCCGGGCTGGTCAGACCGCTCTCCGCTTCACTTCTCTCTTTTGTTCAATATCAAGGGCCAAGTTAACATACAAATATATCAAATACTGATTAGTAATCTCTGTATGTCCAAACATCTCTATAACTCCATGATGCTAGGTTAAGTTTTCAATATGAGTATAAAAAGGGTATGAATATGAAAAGAGAAAGAAATCAAGTGCCTGCTTTAAAAATATATAAAAACTCAAAAAAATAAAATAAAAATATATAAAAACTCAAAAAAATAAAATAAAATAAAAATATATAAATAAATATTTATATAAATAAAATATAAAATTTATAAAATAAATATAATATTTATAAATATAAATTTATATTTATATTTATATTTTAAATATATTTTAAATATAAAATTTATTTTATATAAATAAAATAAAATATATAAAAACTCAATAGCAAAAATACCTCAGGAGTCACCAAAATGGCTGAAAATATTTTGTAGAAAATTTGCATTCTGGTCTTGCCATAATCTAAATACATACTTTAACATTCAGGTAGCTGAGTTAGCAGTTTGGGCTATTTGAGTACTAACTGTGTTTCATATTAAGTGAAAATGTAAAAATAAAACTTAAATTCCTTCCATTTCACTTGTGCACTCTAAACAGGTCAAATTAAACAGCTAAGGCTGTACTTCCTCTAACACAGAATCTTATTAGATGTTAAATCCCAGGTTAAAATCTTCCCTATTTTCCTCAGCCCTACCCATTCAATCGCTTAAGGAGCCACATTCACCTCAATGAATACTTCCAATTCCATTGAGCAAGTCACTTTTTTCTGCATACATATATTTCAGTTAGGATTTTTTTACAATTAAAAAAAATTCATCTATAAAAATAACATTTGCATATCCTCTTTCTACATTTGTTTTGTTTCTCAAAGCTTCATTTATGTGGAGATCCTTTTCTACATGCTCTGCCGGTTTTAAGGAAGTAAGTAAAGTGAAGGAAGTACACAAATGCTTATAAATGAAGTAAGGAAGACTTTTATCAGCCCTACAAAGCAGGCTGTGTTTCTCAAGTAAACTCTCTATTTGCCAGCAGTACAGCACATGAAAAGGGCACGGTGGAGCTTTTACTGAATCTTGCACCACAGTCAGAAAATCCTAAATAGACATCTCCTTTCTTTATTTACCTTGTAACACCTATAGCGTAACTATCTACCTCCAAAGAGGTTTTGTGAGGATCTACTTCAAGAATATAAAGTGCTTAAAATCTGCAACACACTGTGGAAATACAGAAAAATAAAGAACACAGCCCTCTTATAAGGCCCAACAGTCATTCAGATTTTAAAATTATTTGGGACTTTACCCAAGTAAAAACTCCCAACCACGGGTTAACCTATAGTATATCCATAAAACATTAAGAACAATGAGGAACTCCCTGTGTAGTGATATGAAAAGATCTCCCAGGTAACTTAAGTGAAAAAAAAAAATGTACCTAAGACTACATACAGTGTGCTTCTATGTAAAAGAAAAAGGAAGAAAAAATTTTAAAAACTCTATAAGGATATAAGAAACTAATGACAGTGGGGGGGAAACTAGTTTGACTGCAGACCAAGACCAAAAGGTTTCTCACTGTATCTCCCTCTTTATTAAGTTCTGAAAAAAATTTTAACTGTTCAAAAAATGTAATAGCTATTTTAAAAATTAAGTACATATACATTCACACACATTTTTCTTAATGGCCAGCTTAATCTCACACTAAATCTTTTAATATTTATTTTTTTAATTTTTAAAAAAATGTATTTGGCTATGCTGAGTCTTAGCTGCAGCACTCAGGATCTTCAATCTTTATTGCAGCAGGCAGGATCTTTAGCTGCAGCATGCAGGATCTAGTTCCCTGACCAGGGATGGAACCTGGGCCCCCTGCACTGGGAGCGTGGAGTCAGCCACTGGACTACCAGGGAAGTACCACACAGCTAAATCTGCTTATCTTCTAACTCTACACTTTATCTTCTACATTAACTTACCCCCTAAAAACTAGGTATAAAAGGGAGACATTCCACAGCAATGTGGAACTAATGGATAAATAAGGTATAAGGGCAATAAATGAGTTCAGAAAGAATAGTGTGTGCTACAGTGACTTCATATATTAAATGAAATGTAACCTAAGCCTTAAAATAAGGAGAGCTTCTGGGTAGGAAAGGGCTTCCCTGGTAGCTCAGACGGTAGAGAATCTGCCTGGAATGCAGGAGACCAGAGTTCAATCCCTGGATGGGGAAGATCCCCTTGAAAAGGAAATGCCAACCCACTCCAGTATTCTTGCCTGGAGAATCCCATGGACAGAGGAACCTGGCAGGCTACAGTTCACGGTACCACAAAGAATCGGACACAACTGGTCATGACTACCACTTTCACTGTCACTTTGGGTAGGGAAAGGGCAACTGAAGGTTTTCCAGATAGAGAGATAATACAGGAAAAGTAACTGATTAATGCAAAATTCTCAGGGTACAAAAAGGAGACCCCAATCCCTCCCACACCCGTCCCTCTCTCTGCCTTTGGGTTTCACAGATCCTCCAACTAAAGTGCTGGTAGAGGCTTTAGATGCTATATTGTCATCCTTCCCATCTTACAGATGGTGAGTACTGGCTCACTGAGATTAAATTTGTTTTTCTTGACTAAGCTGACTTAGGAGAACTGAGACTAAGTCAGGTTTTTTCAACCCTGGTCCAACACTCTCCAGTAATAAGGAACATTATGTTCTAAAATCAAAATCTTTATGTAGGTGCTTTAGTTCAACCCAGTGATCTCACTGAAGATTTAGATTTAAACCCTAGACTCCAGCCTTGGGTAATTAAATAGCACTTTTAAAAAACAGAGGGATAACTGAATTCAGGGATAACTTTCTTAAACACCTTATTTTAGTTAAGCAAACTGTGAGAGAGGCATCAGATTATATTAAAGGACCCTGGAGGAGGAGACTTGAGTACCCACCGCACTCATGTGGTCTGTTCCTGGTCAGTGGTTTGCCATTTACCCTTTTTAAATATTAGAATATTTTGCTGCTTACTTGCTTAGTCTCAGTACCCTCACTGCAAAATGAAGAGTTGGTGACTTGTTTCTAAAACTAATGTTTTCAAAAGTCCAATCCTTAACTGTCAACCAAAACTCATTTCATGAATTCAACAGAAAGAACTATAGTTTAGATCAGAAATTCAGCTCTTTTCATTGTTAGTAAGGTCTAGAACAGAGAACTGTTCTTCAAACAAAGTAACAACAGTATCTCAAAGTTTTTAAGTAAAAGATATTTTAAAAAAAAGAGAGAGAGGAAGAGGATTCCTAAAGGCCAGAATATAAACTAGTAACAAGAAGTAAAATCTCCATAAACTTACACAGCAGTTGATGCTGTTTCAGAGTAGACTCGCATTATCCATTAGTTGCCTTTAGTCTTACCCCTGGAGAGTAGATAGTACTGCTACTTTACAGATGAAGCTAATTCAGAGATGAGGAGCTGTCTCCCAAATCACATACTTTTTGATGCAGTGAAACCAGGACTAGAACCCAAACCTTATACTCTGGTGCCTTTTCCATGCCCTACCACTTTCCCTTTCCTCCTGGACAAACAGAGAGCCTGGCCATCCAAAACTGACCTGCATGCTGTGGCCACGCATGTCTGTTATTGCTAAGGTGAAGTGGTGGACCAGTGCCCACCAGCTCAGTTCTCCAGCACCCAGCAGGATGGCTATAGCTATTTAGTGGAGCAAAGTTAGATCCAATGGTGAAGAACCACATCCGCCTAGAAATCTGGGACCACTCTCTGAGAGCCCTCGTCTCCCAGGCACCTGCCGCTGGGGAAAACTGTTCCAAGAGTTACCATCCTCCTCTCCCGATGGGAAAGCTGGAAAACAGATGAGGACCAAAGCCATCAGGAGGAACTAGGACTACATATTCTTGATTTGTAAAAGGACTGCCCCTGAATCACGCTAATCAGTGTTTGTAAGTTTCTTGAGAAAGTTGAATTTATCCTACTTCAAACGCCTGCTCCTCCAAAGGCCATTCTTTCAATGCCCACATAATTGCTAAGCAACTTTGCTCTCATTCCTTGATTCGAAGAATAAACTATTGTTACTACAATAAAAGATCCATATCCATGCCAGACCCTCATCATTCCAGTTCCTTCATAACTGTCTGCCGGTGCCTCTGCAGGGCCTCCGCCGACAAGAAATGACTAACTGCTCGTGTGGTTGGTTCCTGTTCAGTGGTTTGCCGTTTACCCTTTTTAAGTATTTTACTCCAACTATCGTGGAAAGAAATCAAGGATGATGAACGACTACACAGTGTTTTAACACACATCAGTGCCTAATGGTTGCCCTCCTCCCTCCCAAAGATGCAGAGATTACAAAGGTTCTCTGAAAGGAGCCTCCCCCCAGCCGACCCCCAGTCACACGCTGTTTCCCTTTACAGGATGTGCGTAATGGGCAAAATTCAACACTGAAAAAAAGAGGGGTGGAGATCCCA